TGTGGGCTGAGGCACCTGGTCCCAAGAGGTGGCAAAGCATATGGTGGCTGGCTGGTCCAATGGCAGTGGGTTATCAGAACTTATTAACATTAGTGTCACTAAAGTTGGTATACCACCCCCCCCCACTGCTAAATTTGATTGGCTTTAAAAAAAAAAAAAAGCACATGGTGGCTGCTGCAGAGCCTCTGAAACCCTTCCCCTCTTCTGTGGTCCCCAGGAGATGAGCACGTCCCTTGTTCTAAGATTCTAGTTGGGGTAGGGGGTACCAAGCGGCAGCAACCCCACAGAGACCCTCTTCTGTCCCGTCCCAACCTCTCAGCCTCCTACACACCTCAACCTTAAGGACAGCTGTGACTTTACAGTGTATCAAGGGCCCCACATAGCCTGAACCCCATTGGAGGCCAGCTCTTATGTGTGGAGTGTGCACAAGTATGCACCGTGTGTGCGTGATGTGTGTGCATGTGTGCAGTACCTGTGTGTGACCACTGCATTCACACAGAGGGGCTGTTACCGGACCTGAGTCTGTCTGTGTGCCACTCAATAGCCCAGTGCTCCAAGATGAGAGCTGCTGGGAAGAAAATCGGGTTAATTCCAGGGTGCCAAGATGGGGGGAGCTGGTGTCCTCCCCCCAAAACCATCTTGGGGAGCTCAGGTACCCGGAAAGGAAAGGCCTTTTGTAGAGAGGGAACTGATACACGGTGACAGCTAAGAATGTTTTGGGGGGGTTTTCTTCCCCTTTGGAGAACAATGTAATTGACTTTGACCTCCTGGGGCTAGTTACAAACATTATTTTTCTGCAAGTTAAACATCATAGCAATTTGCATGTTCTGTGTTAGCTGACAGAATTAAAGACTAAGGTAACATGGGCTGGGGATTTAGCTCAGTGGCATAAGCACCTGCCTTGCAAGCAGGCAGTCATGAGTTTGATCCCCGGTACTGATAAAAAGGAAAAAGAAAAAAATATATATATATATAAAGACTAAGGTGACAGAAATTAAGACTATTCTGATGTTATCTGAAGCACACCAGATGTCCTGAGTTTTGTAAATCTGAAGAAAGATTATTTGGCAGTTAACCTTTTTTTTTCCTGCACCAGGGACTAAATCCAGGGAGCACTTTTTTTTTTTTTTTTTTTCCCTTTTATCAGTACCAGGGATGGAACTCACGACTGCTTGCTTGCAAGGCAGGCGCTTATGTCGCTGAGCTAAATCCCCAGTCCCCAGGGAGTACTTTTAAAATTTTTATTTTCCCCAGGTGTGGTGGCTCACGCCTGTAATTACAGCACTCAGGAGGCTGAGGCAGGAAGATCTTTGCGAGTTCGAGACCGGCCTGGGCTACAAAGTGAGCTCAAGGCTAGCCTGAACTGCATAGTGAGACCCTGTCTCAAAAAGACCAAAAAAAAAAAAAAAAAAAAAAAAATTATTTTCAGACAGGTCTCATTAAATTACACAGGCTGATCTGGAATTTGTAATTCTTCTCCTACCTCAGCCTCTCAAGTAGCTGGGATTATAAATTTGTGATATCAAATTAGGCTTCAGTTAACATCTTAATCATTTAGGTGTGGCTTTAAGAATTTAGAATGCTAGGCAAAGGGAGGGGAAGCGAAGGTAACTCTGCCCTGGACAACTCCCAAAGGAGGAGCAACCAGCTCAGGCTGGAGGATCAGTTCAGGAACAGCAGATTCAGGGTTCAAGTCACATCCTGGGGGGCTGCCAAGGGTCCCAGCTCTCTTCCCAGCCCCCCTCTGAAGTACTGGAGTTCACTCTTCCCTTTTCCTCTTTCTTTCCTTTCTCCTTCTCCCACTAGTATCACGCTCATACAGGGAACTGAACTTCACATTGAGCTGCATCACCATTGACCCCCGCCCACCCCCCCTCTTTTGTCTTTTTGAGACAGGGTCTCACTAGGTAGTTCAGGCTGGCTGTGTACTCACAGTGCAGCTCGGGCTGGTCTTGAACTCATGGTGATCCTCCTGCCTCAGCCTCTGCCGTGCTGGGATATATAAACATGTGTTACCATACCAAACTTCTAAAAAGAATTTTGTCTTTTTTTTTTTTTTTTTTTTTGGAGACAGGATCTTGCTATGCAGTATAGATTGGCCTTGGGCTCACTCTGTAACCCAAGTTGGTCTTGAACTTGCAATGATTTTCCTGCCTCAGCCTCTGGAAGGCTGAGATTACAGGAGTGTGCCATCAAAAATTTTTATTATTTTGAGACAGCATCTAAATTGCTAAGACTGGGCTCAAACTTGTAATCCTTCTGCTTCAGCCTTCTAGAGCTTTGGGATTATAGGCATTACAATCTGTTTCGTCTCTATCCTTGGCTTCTGGGACAACAGCTCCTAAGAGTCCTGAGTGCATGGAACAAGAGTATCTTGAATCTTGAGTTGGGCATGTGTGCATACTGTAAAAGAAAGCACCTTTTGCTATTTATAGCAGCCATTTCTGCTGTAGGCTTTTTTTTTTTTTTTTTTTTTTTTTGGTGCCAGGGACTGAATTCACCACCTTGCACTCGCCAGGCGCTTATGCCACTGAGCTATACCTCCAGCCATGCCTTTGCTGCTTACACTATGATCCTTTCCACCCCATACCTGTGTTCACAAAGTAACTCTTGGAGGGTGCTGGCCAACAGTTCAGCTCCACCTCTGACTGGAGATGGGAGATGGGCCTACTGAAGCGTCGGTAAGACCATTCAGCTATGGGAGTCAGAGACCATCAGGTTAGGGAAAGAATCCACGTGTCTGGAAGGCAGCACAGCCTAATTCCCTAGGATAGACACCCCTGGTCCTGGGTGTGGGACCTTTCCATACCAGTCACCTGTATCCTTTGTCACAGACTTGGTAAGTCAGTAAAATTAAGTAACTGTTTCCCTGACTTTTGTGAACTGGTACAGAAAATTACAAAGCCAGGAAGGCATGGTGGGAACCTTCAACTTCCGGTTGGTTGGGTACAGGTGTGACAGACTGGATTTCCAATTGCTGTCTGAGGTGATAAGCCCTGAGGGTGGGGTCTGCAAGAACTCCTGATATTTACTGTCAGAACTGAATTGTTGGATACTTCACTGCTAGTAGGGGGAGAAGCATCTGGTGATGAAAAACCCATTTCCTTTAGGTCTCCAAAACGCCCACCTCCAACCTGGCCGGGCCTCAGCACCACACCTGGAGCAGGTCACCACCACCACCAGTCCTGCCCATCCACTTTTATTTGGATGGGCACTTCCCCCAGGATGGCAGGGCTGGAGTTGGGGGAACCCCACAAACCCAAGGTGAAAAGCAAGGGGGTTGCAGGCAACCTGTCACCTCCATCCAGCTGTCCTCCCACACTCTGGACTGAAGTCATGACCTCAGTCCCTCTCCATTTCTCCCAAGTATCCTGAAGTGCTTACAGGCAGCTTGTGATAACACAATTGCAGTCTTCAGCACACTGGGCAAGGCTGGACAGATTCCAGCTCATGAGGACGTGGGGCCAAAATCAGGGAATCAGCTATGTGGCAACTCCCTGATGCAGGGAACCACACTCCTGGGATCCACTTTCACAAGAATGTCACACAGGAATATGCACCAACAGAGTATTTATTGAGCACCTACTATGTGCCAGGTTCTACACATCAGGAAAACAAAGTCAATGCTGCCTGGTCCCCGCCCAGGAGGAGCTCACAGTCTAGGAGGCCAAGCCATGAACTGGAGTAGCAGCAAATGTGCATTTGGCATCACAGTTTTTCACAAGTTTTAGAAACACTTTCCTCAAGTGCAAACACCCGGTGACACAGCCATCTTGTCCTAAAAGCACACTGTCACCGATATAAACACAATCACATCACTGAAAGGACACAGATCTGCAGTGATTAGCACTGGTGTGTTCAGAGCCTGGCTCTCAGCACCCCTTTTTTTTTTTTTTTTTGTCTTTTTCCTTTTTATCAGTACCGGGTATTGAACTCATGACTGCCTGCTTCTAAGGCAGGCACTTATGCTGCTGAGCTAAATCCCCAGCCCCCAAGCACCTCCTTTCTGACGAGGCAGTGCACAAGTTTTGTCAATCTACACAACGGTGGTGGACTCGCAAGTTCCCTGGGCCCTGGCCCTGACACTGCTTTTTCTCCATACCTCTGTCCCTATTCATTTTTGGACTCCTGAGTGGGTCACTTGGGGTCAAAGGACTGTGCCCAAGAACCTGTTCAGCTGTGAGGTCCCAACAGCTGCCTGCCAGTGAGGCCAGCTCAGGTGAGGACATGGTGGACCCTGCTAGGCCTGGACGTTCCTTGACTGGTGTGACAGCTCACGTCAACATTCTGGGGAACAGCTGTCCTCCCAGCCTGGGCCCTCCCTCAGTGCACCTGCTTCTCAGGGGTGGCAGGTGCTTGCTCCCACTCACCAGGCCTGCAACAGCTACTTAACAACACAGCAGAGACAGGGCCTTATGAGGAAGAGAACACGCATGGCTTTGGCCTGTGGCAGGTTAGCTCAGGGCACATGGAATTCCACACGGACTTGAAATGGGCTCTCAGGGTCTGGGCAGTGGGAGGAACCAGGCCACGATCAGGGTAGGATGAAGCCAAGGTCAGGGTGACAGGAAGCTTGGTTGGGGAGACTGTGAGACTGGAGAAGGGAAAGCTATTTGTCACCCACGTGCCACCTCTACTTTGTTGGCTGAGAAAGAATCTCCACTTTACCAAAGGGCCCAACAATGCTAAGCTCCTGAGTGTGAGCATCCCAGGCTCCCATGGTGGTCTGGGTTGGGCAGAGGTCCTCACAGGCAAAGTCAGAAGATACAAGATTTAATGTTTCTTGACCCCTCTTTTTGGGGCGAGGCTGAGGGGAAGGGACAAGGGGCACCCATGTGACTGACACCAAGCCTGGCCAGGCAAGCCCTGCCCTGTGGCTCACTACTGCACCCTCAGGACAGGGTGCATCTGCTCCCAGGCAGGCCTATCCTGCAGCCCTCCTGCCTGAGCTGCATCCAGGAGGCCCCTGCCTTCCCACAATGATGGCCCACACGGAAGTCTCTTAATAAAAAAAAATAATTTATTGTCAACAAAGGCAATATATACAACAGGAAAACCGGTGAAAGGGAGCGTGGAGGTGAATGGAGCCCTCGGCAGAGATGGAGTGGGAAGAGGTAATGGAGGCTCCTGGTGTAGGAGCCTGAACAAGTGGGGGAGGAGAGGCGTCCCCCGAGGTAGTGGGACTCAGTTCAGACCCCGTCATGACCACCTCTGTGTAAGGCACTGTGCCGGGGAGAATGGCGGGGAGCTCAGGGTGGAGGAGTGAGGGTCAGAGAGGCATGGTCAGCCAAAGATGGGGTAGGTGTTCTCCACAGGCCCAGTGCCCTTCCCCGCAGCCTCAGCTCAGCCCCCACCACCTCAGGTCTCACTAGGCCCCCCTCCGCCCTGCCTTGACAGGGTGGCTGCCAGCAGCTCTGCATCTGCGCGCATTACAAGCCAAAGGGGGATGTTCCTTCCTCCCTCCCCAGGAAAGCAAGAACTTAAAGCCCATTGCCTGCCTCTGGCTGCCCCCCGAGAGTGGTGCTGGATTCTGACAGAACTGTGGGCCACTTTGGGGTATCACCTGCACCCACTCCCTTGATGCCCTGTGGGTGCTTGGACCAATCTTGCAAGAGACTGACGGCTGGGGGCTCCTCCATCCGCACACGGATAACCTGGAGATCCAGTGTCCCGCGAAGCCCCGAAGGGGGAGCTGGGCAGGGGTGGGAGGAGAGCAGAGTTAGGGCCCTTCAGAGCCCAAGAGCACCTCAATGGCTCTGCAAACCACACCCACACTCCAGGGCATTCCTGCTTTCTTCAGCCCAGTGCCTGGTTCCAGCAGAAAGACGCCAGCTTCACAACCTTGTAGGCAATGGCACCGCCACATGTCAATATGAAGCCTTCCTCCCCTAGACCTAGGACAGGGACAGCGCTGCAGCCACCTCTTCCCCACTCTTACCTTCAGCAGCATCATTTCACATATAACTTGCTGGGCAGCCTGGCCTAAGGGGTTCTGCCTACATGAACCAGGCTAAGACATGGTTTTGTGACTACAAAGTGCACGAGGGATCTGCAGAGTGGAGCAGAGCACTGAATGGGGGTCAGGTTAGTGCTCCAGCCCTGCTCTGTGACTCTGACCAGGCCCTGTCTCCTGCAGTCACCACCCATGCCACAAGGGTCCAGGGCCCATCTTAGCAGTACGGAGAAGCTGTTCAACATGTCAAAGGTAGACTGCAAGACAGGGAAAGGCATTTAGGGCCACTGGACAGCCTCGAAAATGCCCCCTAGAATGTGGGTCCATGGAAAAGTCACACTGCTATAAGGCAGAGGTAGGAAATGGCAGATATCTGTATTGAATTTTGTTTTTCTAGCTTATTCATTTAACAGTAGCAAACTTTTACTAAAGGTCAGAAAAGAAATAGACTGCAGGTGAGTTTGGGCCAAATAAAAGGAGGAAAAGCAGCGCACGTTGCAGGCCAACACATGCGTGAGTAAACAGCTGCTGCCTCTAGTCTTTAAGAGAACAGTTATTTAAAAGGTGGCAGGAAAAAAAACAGCAGAGATGAGTACCAGTTTGCTGGAATTTAAAATGACTCAGTGGCAGGGGCTGGGGATTTAGCTCAGTGGTGTAAGCACCTGCCTTACAAGCAGGCAGTTGTGAGTTCGATCCCTGGTACCAATAAAAATGAAAAAGACAAAAAAAAAAAGAAAAAAAGTTTCTTAAAAATGACTCAGTGGCCACCATCATTAGGCTGTACAATTCAGGGACTTACATGTTCTGTTCAGGTAAGGTGGTCTTACTTGAGGGAAGAGAGACTGAACTCCACTCTATTCATGAATTCAGCATATAACTCATCAACAAGCATGACGTGCCCATGCTGCCGCTCTCTGCCAGGGTGCCAGCAGGGATGGGGAGGAGTATGCTGTTGCTTCCTTGGAGTTTACATCTCAGTGGCGAGAGCCAATAAATACCAGCAAACAGAAGATGTAGCAGGTTCTATATGGCCAGGTGCAATGTCAAGAAACGCATTAGGGCAGGCACACAGGGTGCAGAGATGTGGAGGAAGAAGTATGGAACAGCACCTCTGATGGCAGGAGTAGCACGGGTGCTGCCACCTGTGCAGGTGTGTGTGCTGTGGCGTGATGAGAGGTCAGGGGAAAATCACCTGGCAGGAAGATCACTCATGCCCAGGACTCCAGCTCTTATCTGAAGTCTGACAGCAGCCACTGGGAAGGCTGTGAGCAGAGCAGCAACCATCTGACCTGTATTTTCAGCAAGGACATTGTTGGCTGTGACAGTATAGCACAGCAGGCAAACCTGAGACCACTTACAAGCTGGATGCAAGCAGCAATGAGAGGGCCGAGGTGACAAGCACCTGCCTGGCAAGCACAGGGTTTCGAGTTTGATTCCTGGTTCCCAAAAAATTGGTTAAAGACAAGAGAGTGAGCCCTCAACTTACTATGGAGAATCTTGAGTATGGACTAGTGTGGGGATGAGGTTAGAAGGTTTTTGGCTTGGATCCAGTGGGACAGAACTCCCGAACCTATAAGTATCTCCTTTAAATTGTGAGTGTCAGGTATTTTGTTCTTCTGGAAAGCTAATATACAGTCACACAAAACATACTGAGAAAAAACAAAACAAAACAAAAAAACCCCTATTGAGAGCTGTGAATTGGGGGACACCTACCAGTATATAAACAGTGCCAGGGCTGGGGATTTAGCTCAATGGCGTTAAGTGCCTGCCTGGTGAGTACAAGGTCTTGAGTTCGATCCCCGGCACCAAACAAACAAAAAACCAGTACTTATTCTTCACCAAAGAAGATCACAACGCAAACATTCTGACCCAAAGATAGTAACACTCTAAAAAGGGGGAGACCGAAAACAGTATGATACAAAATGAGGGACGGATCTGATGTTACTACCAGATCAAAAAGTGAAGGAGTCAAAACTAACCACTGGATTTAAGTTTATAGAAGTCAATGGCAACTTTAGCAAAAATTCAGTGTTGGTCCAGTGCTAAGGGTGAAGTTGCACTCAGATTTCAGAGACAAGTGAGGGGCAGGTAGTCTAGAAAGGACCTCCCACAGTCAGGCATGGTGGTATATACACTTTTAAACCTTGGGAGGCGGAGGCAGGAGGACTGGAAGTTTAAACCCAGCCTGAGCAACTCGGACCATCTCAAAGCTGACCCTGAGACTTCACCTGTCTAAGGCTGAGGCCGAGGATGATTCCCTTACTTTAGCGGTTGTGGTGGTGCTGGACATTGAACCCAGGGCTTCACACATGCTAGGCAAAGGTCCTACAACTGAGCTATCTATCCCCCAACAACCTTGTGTTTTTGAGTTGGGGTCCTGCTATGATGCCCAAGGCGGTCTTGAACTCCTGGAGTCAAGTGATCCTCCTGCCTCTGCCTCCCACAGACATGTACCACTGTACCTCAACTGTTTCATCTTCTGCAAGATGGAAATTTTAAAACCTTATATAGTATTTTACCTTTGTGAGACAGAATATTAAGGAAGTGTGGTATGCAGCAGAGGCTCAAATAAACTACAGAGGCTGGCTTCTCAAGGCCTGCATTGGTTAAATGCTATGGTGGCAAGGATGAAGTAAGGAAGTCAAGGCTGTGAGGCCTAAGATGTGGTAGAGATCAGAGAACTAGGACCTAAAAGCAAGCGAGGATGACTCACCATGCCAGGACGACTCTGGACAAGCAGAGTCCCTCTGGCAGGGAGGCATGGAACAGCCCCACCTTCCTCCCTGCTTCCTGCTACACTGCAGTTGTGCATGCATTCTAGAGCTGCTTCCCCTGTGGAGGCTGGGCAGGGCCCATTCCCTTTGGTCCTTTCCTAAGCCATCTAGAAGCAGAGACTTTGGACTTGACACCACCTGAATGACAGGCAAAGGCAGCCATCACTCATCTGCCCAACTTTCCAATGATTTTTTGGCGAGCTTTCTTTATGCTAGGCACTCACTGTTCTAGGTGCTGAGGAGCCAGGGGTGAACAAAAGCAGAGACTGTGCAAGGCTCACACTTGGCATGCACAGGTGCTTTCTCACTATGCTTGTTCCCAGGTTCCCTGGAACTGTGTTTCCAGCTAAGGGGTCCTAACTGGATCTCCAGGTCCTACCCAAACCAAATACTAGAAAAAGAGACTCTTTTTTTCCTTGTCTTGCGAGTGGGTCCTTCCAACTTTCCTCTCCTGGCCCCCAGCTCCCCTTGCAAAGTCCCCAGAAAGTTCTAGAAAGCTTTCCCAGACTGCTTTACCACCATCACACATTTGTAGCTACCAGCTCAGCTAACCTAAGCAAAGTGACCTTTTCCAACTCCTACATCAATGTGTAGCTGCTGTTTGCTTATTAGTGAACTAAGGACTGAATCCAGGGCCTTCACTTTGAATGTCATTCCTCATTTCCCTCCTTTGGAGACAAAACCATGTTAGGCTTATGTAAGGCTTGAATTTACAATCTTCCTGCCTTAGTTTCCCAGCCTGGAACCCTGACAGGTGCCCATCAACATATGGAGTTTCTTGGGGACAATGGCTGCTTTTTTGGTATCATTCCCCAGAGCACTTCCCTCAAGGCTGGGCTCCAGGGACACTTTGTTGGTACACTGCTATCCTCTATGGTTCCCTGGCCATCTCCAACCTCCCAAAATCCTGCTACCACTGAAACATACCATCTCCATCTCTTTTTTGTCCACTCACCCCACATAAACCTAAAATCTTAGGGATTCTCTTCTGTCATTTTCTTTTCTTTTTTGCACCAGGGATCAAACTCACAACCATGCGCTTGCAAGGTAGGCGCTTATGCAGCTGAGCTATATCCCTGGCCAGGGATTCTCTTCTGTATGCACCATCCAAATGGGGGGTTTCAGCCACCCCAAGACTCAAAATCAAGGCTCCCTTCACATATGAAACCAGCAGACTGGGCTGGGGTTTTAGCTCAGTGGCATAAGCGCCTGCCTTGCAAGCAGGCAGTCATGAGTTCGATCCCTGGTACCAAAAAAGACAAAAAAAGAAACCAGTAGACCTACTAAACAGTGGCAAGGCCAACCACATTGAGGACCCAGGAGAATGGGGGACTCAGCATAGCCCAGGGAGGCAGTGCAGGAACACAACTCATTCAGACAGTTAAAAATGATACACAAGACGGGGTAAGGCTTGTCAGAGGAGAAAAAGGGGTCCATCACAGCAAAAAAGAGCGATGTGTATGTGTACAAACGTGCACACACGCACAGAGCTCTGTAAAAAGACAGAAGGGGTCAAATCATTAATAGGCACTACTGTTAAGTGGATCTGCAGCAACAGGTAACATTCTATCTCCCCATGGAGAAAGTTCACCACTTTTTGGAGAGCTCTCTGCTGGGAAGCCTCCAGCCACTTCATCAGCTACCTCATGACCCCCTATTCCACCTGCACATTTCCAACAAGCTGGGACACAAACGGCCACTCCCGGACAGTCATCCTTTCCTTCGGAAAGTATTTACTGAGCCCCAAATGGTATGAGCTATGCATGGCAAAGACAGGAGAGGAGAGGAAGCAGGCTCAGCCTCTGCAACGCATTCCACTCTCCTTAATTCTGTGGGTATATGATTGTGGTTGCAGAAAAATGATCCTCAGAGATGTCCACTCAGAAGTCTCAGTCCCTAGAACCTGGCAATGTTTTACTCCATGACAAGGGGTAATGAAGGCTGCAGACAGAATTAAGGTTGCTAATCTGCTGACAAAGAATAGAGACAGGGTTGGAGTTGGAGTCAATGGGAAAATTGCTTACCTAGCATGGTGAGGCCCTGGGTTCAATCCCCACCACCTCAAAAAGAAAAAAAAAGTCTTGAGTACGAATGTAAGCCCTTATACCCACGAGGGTCTTTAAAACACAGAACAGGGAAGCAGATGTGGCAGGACCAAAGATGGTGAGCCAAGAACTTCTCCTGGCCATTGGTGACCCTAAGGATGTTGGGAGGCCACAAGCTAAGGGACGTGGGTGGCTTCTACAAGCCAAGCAAAGTGAAAAAAAACAGATTTCCCCCTAGTGATTCCAGAAAAGAACACAGCCCTGCTGCTGCTGATACACGGAGTTTAGCTTGGAAAGATCTATTTTGGACCCTTTGCTATAAAAGCAAACCACTAAATTCATTGTAATCTGCTATACCTATGATAGAAAACTTGTACAAGGAACATGAGAAAGAAGGAATCACTTCTTTTACTGTTAAGGTGACTTTTTTTTTTTTGGTACCAGGGATTGAACTCATAACCTCACGCTTACCAGGCAGGTGCTTATGCCACTGAGCTGAATCCCCAGTCCTGTTAAAGTATTTTTGTATGGATCAAATAAACTACATATAGATTTCTTTTTCTCTTTTTTTTTGTGTGTGACACTAGGGTTTGAACACAGGGCTTTTGGTTTGGATTATATTCCTATTCCCAGCCCTTTTTAATTTTTGAGACAAGATCTTGCTAAATGGGCAGACTGGGTTTTGACTTTGTGATCCTTTTGCCTCAGCCTCCTAGAGTGCTGGGATGCACTGCCACATCCGACTCTGGAAGCCTCTTACAATCAGGAGAACCTGACATAGCACTTGCCCACCTGCTGCCATCATTAGCAATTTCCTGAGCTGGGTCCCCATGCAGGTGCCCCATGCATGACCTGTTTACTATTTTGGTAACTGTTTGAATTGCTGAGTACTACATCACTTGGTCCCTGCTACACCTGGGAAAGATGTATCTCAGGCCCCAGAGTCCATCTGTCTGTAGAGCTGGGTGTGGGCATACTGGCCTACACAACTGTAACAACCAACTCCAAGAATCTCTGAAGGATATTCAGAAATGTTCAGCTCTTTGGCCCGCCTTTCCCATTCTAATCACCTCCCCTTAGCCCGTGTCCCTGGGGACCTGAGTACCAATCACCAGCACCCTGGGCTCCAGTGCAGTGCAGCCTTGGGAAGCCCAAAGCCAAGGGAGTTGCCAGGCTGACCTCTTCCTGGCTGTTCCCACTGGGGAAGGCTCACCTGGAGACAGGCTTTCTGTTTGGGCCTGGCCTTCCACTGCTGCTTTGCCCTCTTGAGGAAAGTCCTTACTGTCGGCAGCCCTGAGTTGGGTATGAGAGAAGAGCTGCAGGACAAAGCCAGGAGGGAAGCTGCCATCAGTGAAATGTCGGACCTCAGCTGGTGCTGCAAACGTCTCTGTGGATGAGTCAGGGGATAGGGGCTCTGAAAAGGCAGACAGAAAGAAACTATGAGTGAAAACACTGGAACCCAAAGCCCTGAGCCCCAAGCCTCAGGAGAGCTGCAGGTGCCTCTAGCCTGGTCCCCTCCATCCTCACGGTGGACCTGGGCATTCTGTTGCAGTGCTGTGACCAAAGCCTATCCCCTCTGTCAGACCTCCCCTCACCTGGGTCAGGGTCAGGGTCAGGATCAGGGTCCAGGTTTTTGGTCATATGCCTGCCTCTCTTCTTTCTGACAGGCTCTTCCCCAAGGGGTTCTTTCCATCTCTGGCCACGGGGCTTCTTATTTCCTGGCTCTGTGGCAGGGGCAGCTGTGAAGAAATCTTGTATCTTTCAGAAGTCACCACTAGATTCCCAAGAATACCCTCCCAGCAGCAATCCAGAACAGAGCCTATGTTTCACCCTGTCCCCATCCCTCCCACCCTCCCCCCTTGTTGACTGACCAGGAAGCTCAAGGGGGCGAAGTCCCCTGGGCCGGATCCTTTTAGGAAGGGACGGGTTGTCCTCCGAGTCTAGCAGGACCACGATCTCTGCTGGCATCCCTGCAGGGCCTGGGTTGGAGCTGGGGTCTGGCTCAACATTGCAGCCTGACTCTGAGAGGGCAAAAGCCTGCTGAGCTGCCAGGGCTCCCACCAGCCGTTTCTCCCTCTGCCCAACTCTACCCCACCTGATTACCTGAAGCCAATGGAGACGGCTGTTCAGCATGGATGTCTTGCAGAAGGGCTGCCCCCTCACTCCAGGCCTCCAGGATGTTGCTTTTCTCTGAGGGGCTCAGGTCCAGGGTGTGGGGATGCTGTTCCAGGATGTGTGTGCGAGCAGTGTCCGCAGAGGGAGAACGGATCTCGGCCCCACACACCATGCACAGGGCCCGCCCACTGCCTCCGGGGCTATTCCCCACCAGGAACTCCTGCTCCCAAGACATCTGCTGTTTGGGCTCCTCACAGCCATCACTACCTGCCTCCAACAGGCTGGGCCGAGGAAGAGGGGTCTTCTCCTGTTGGGTCACTGCAGAGCAAGAGGGGTACTGTTAATACCCCTGCTGATGACACTTAGACTGCACAGGATCCAAGAATGAGCCATTCTGTACACATCTTACTCTTGCCTCTGTGTGTTCTCAAGTCATTAGGACTTCAGGTTTAAGGGCTGGGGATTTAGCTCAGCGGCATAAGCGCCTGCCTTGCAAGCAGGCAATCGTGAGTTTGATCCCCGTTACCGATAAAAAGGGGAAAAAAAAAAAAAAAAAAGGACTTCACGTTTCCCACAAGACTATGTGCTTCGAGCTGGGGATTTAGCTTAGTGGCATAAGTGCCTGCCAGGCAAGCATGAAGTTGTAAGTTCAATCCCCCGTACAAAAAAAAAACTCAAGGTGATCCCCCTGCCTTAGGCTCCTGAGTGCTAAGATTACAGGTGTGCATACTGGCCAAACTCTATCATCTGACCTCCCCTACAGGACCTGGCACACAGCTATAGTAATTCTTTCCATGTCAGTCCCAGAGCATTTGCAAGGAAGGTCTTGTTGCAATGCAGCTGTGTGTCACTCCTCCCTATGTATATGTGAGTTATAAGCGCAGACGGGGCAGAAATCCCTTTCAGCTTGGCAAAGGTCAGACCTGTTATCATCTGAAGCTCAGGGATTCAGCAAAATGCCCATGACCCCTTGTGGCAGTACTTCTCCCACGACCAAAGGGTGGACAAAACAGAAGCATGATGGGGAGAGGTTGTGTAGAAGAGGTTGAATGTGGAATGGACCTGAACCTTGGCTTGGACTCAGATGATGCGTTCCAGCAGGGTTGTACTTGTCTCCTGGTCCCCGGACCATAGTTTATCTGCCCCAATGGGCCTTCTTCCTCACCACTCCACTTTCTTGGAAGTTACCAATGGTAAACCCTTTGAGCAATTCAGTTTCATTTGTCATTACTTTCTTCTTTTTTCCTGTCCTGATTTTCATCATTTGGCATCCAAAGCACCTAACTTTCTTTGGTTCATTTTTTTTTTCCTTTGCAGAGCTGTGGCTAGAACTCAGGGCTTCACATACTCAAGTACTCTACCAGTGAGCTCTGCCCCAGATTTTCCTTCTTTTATTTCCCTGAGGTTCTTTCTCAATTATCCATGTGATTCATGGCTTCTCAGACATTTGCATGGCTCCTTTGCTTCCTCCAAGTCACTGTTGAAGAACCACCTTCTTGCCACCCTGAAGGAGACTGCAATCTCCCTGGCCTGAGCATCTCAATTCCTACCTTTGGGCTTTCCTCCACAGTACAACCTTTGTGCTTCTGAGGCCGCCATGTCCCCTTTACATTGCATGTTTCACAATAGCATATGTGGTGGATTAACTAATGGTCAACTTACAACACCCAACTGAACTGTAGCGGTGTGGTTCTGTGCATGGAACCACCTGAGGATTGTTGCTAACAGGGTAAAAGAGCTGGAGAGGAGATGATGTGCTGTTGATTCTCCTGGAGAAGCTTGTCACATTGTTTTTCCTGATGAATTCAGCTGTTACTGTTGGAGGCTGGAGGAGCTCAAGTCGTTATTGTCACTGAGGATGGCTGCAGTTCTTTTCAGAGGAGCTCTGGTCCTTACCCTGAGCATCACCTCCTGGCTCCAGTGCAGATCCCTTCGCCTGATGCCAAGGAGCCCTCTCCCCAGAGTCACAGACTTTCTAGCTTTACCCCTGGCATTTGGGCCTTCTCAGTGCAGATCCTTGATAGAGACTTGCATGAGACATTGTCGGGGGCTATAGGCCTCCAACTGACCTTGTACAGGATGCTGCTATGGGACCCAGGTCCTCAGCTGGATTTTTCAGGTCTCTAGTGCATGAACAGATCTCCTGCGCTTTTTTTTTTTAATGATGCAGTTCAGCCTGGCCTTTAGCTCACTTTGTAGCCCAGATTGGTCTTGAATTCACAGATGATCTTCCTGCTTCAGCCTTCCAAGTGCTAAGATTACAGCATGTACACCACACCCAGCCTTCTGCATTTGACTTTTGGAATATTATAAAATAGTCCTATAAATTATGAACCCTGTATTAAATCTATTCCCTTATAAGCCTGACAATAACATGTAATCTTTTTCTTCAATGCTAGGGATTAAACCAAGAGTTTTGTGTAGGCTGGATGACGCACTACCACCGAGTTATACTCCTAGCACGGCACAAGATTTTTGATATTTTGCATCTAAATCCCTAGCATCAGGAACATTAACTGGTGGACACTGGCACAGAATATTGTGTAAAGGGAGACCAACTCAATCACCAACCTGTAAACACTGGAGTACTTAAGAGTGCTCAGACCCTTTCTGTCAACTCCCTGCCTCTGTAAACATCATCCCCTTGACAGCCTACTGACAACCCTCATATCCACATCTGCAGTAGCACCTTCATGAAACCTACACCAGTGAACTCAACTGCTTATCTGCCTTGCTACTTGAACCCTATAAAAGACATCTCAACTTTAACTAAAATCCAACTTATTCAAACCTTAACTCCCAACCTGCCATAAAAGAAGCCTACACTTAGCCTTCTCAATCTCAACACAGGAAGAGCTTCCTTTCACTTGGTCAGATCAAAACTGGGAATTCATCCTTTCTTTCATATCCCAAACTGCCTCAGAAGCTAGTACCTTAGGACTTTTGCACTTGCTACTCTATCTGTAGTGTTCTTTCTCTAGCTATCTCCACAGCTGTTTTTTTCCTAACCACCCCTTCCTTTTCCTAATCCCACTGTAAATGTTGTTTGAAACACTTATCTGACACACCAAATTTATCTACCTGTCTGTCTGGGATTGGGGCACATATGTTTGACAAGGGCAGTTCCTCCTCTGGTGATTTACTATGGTCACCATCCCTAGCCTAAGACAATGCCTGGCAAACAGTTAAGTGGTCAGTAGCAATAAACACTGGTTGAATGAATGAACTTCTCCAGACTTCTATTTCCTCCCTGAGAGGGAACGTGGACCCCCTTGCAGGGATGTTGAGTGGGTTAACTGAGCCAGCCTTTGACAGAAGCAAAGCAAGCACTCCACAAATGTGAGCACAAGCGGGAAAATAGCGTGCCAGTAGGACTGAATGCTCTGAGGGATGCAGCCTTTATTTGCCTCACTAATCCTATACTTCTTCTGACTCCAAAAAAGATTATGCCGTGCAGGACACATCATTACATTCCAACAAAGTACAACAAATGGCCTTGCTCTCAACTTCTTCTGAACGCAATCCCCTAAGGAAAGGGGACATTGAAAAGTGCCGATACTATTTGCATTTCCATGATTCTTTCACAAAGGTAGCTCTTTGTTTTGGTTAAGGTTTGCAAGCTCCTAAGGACTAAAGAAATCAGTGAAGGGACAGGGAAGGGAGAAAAAGAGGGGGAGGGGAGAACCAGAGCTCCCAGAGCGCTCCTCAAGTCCCCTCCCGTAGCTAACTAAGCTCCTTTTGGTGGCTTACGGCATCCTCTCCCCTTCAGCACTGCTTTTTCCCTACACAAAGTGCTGCATCCCCTTCATTCATTGCGCAGTCTAGAACCTTCACACCTGTGGCTTAGAAAAGCCTGCGGCTGGGGCGGGGGGGGGGGGGGACGGAGTTGCGCGGAAAAAGGCCTCACGCTTTGGGTAGTGGGGGGGGGGGCTCTCAAAATGTCCCTAGGGGCAGCGAGGGCGCCGGCCTCCTCCCTGAGGGACCACTTCTGGCACCCAGTCGCCGCGCCCCGACTCGGGCCTAGAGGCCTCGCCGCCCCTCAGCTTATGGCACAACTGGGCCGCGCGGGAAGGAGGCGACGGCCACTGACTCCCAGCTCCGTGGGGATGCGGCCTCAAGAACTGAGCCCGGGCGTGGGGGCGCTAGGGCGCCGGAAGATCCGGAGCGCGCGGGGCGTGGATGGAAGTCTCCAGACGCGGGGCGGGCGGGGTGGGCGAGGGAGGGGGATTCCGAAGCCTGGAGGTTCCGAGCGGAGGGGGAGGGGCGAGAGCGCCAGGCCCCAAGCCCCAAGCCCCAAGCCCGCGCGGGAGGAGTGAAGGGTGAGGGGTGAGAGGTAAGGGGCGAGGGGCGGCGGGGCGCGCAGCAGGGGGCGCCGCGGCCAGCAGGAGAAGGTACAGGCCGAGACCCGGCCGCCAGGCGGAAGCAGGGTCCCCCCATCGCGTCCTCACCTCTGAGCATCGGCTCCGGTCGCGGGATGACGGCCACCACCACGGCCTCGTCATCGTCCTCGCCTTCCTCGCACTTGAGCGTCACCTCGAAGCAGTCGAGCGCGGCGCCCTCGGCCCTCAGGGCCATGGTTCGGCCGGGGGTCGGTCACAGAGACCGGACACTAGAGGACCGGCGCGCAGGCCTCGGTGTGCCGCCAGCAGCCGCCTGCGCCCGGGACAGCGCGGGGCTTTCGGCCCACCCCTCACAGCCCGCCGCCCGGCCGGCGCGCGAGACAGGGCCGCGCGTGCCGCGACCCCGGGCGGGGAGGGCTCAATCCGGGGCTCGGCACCACCGCTCGCTTTTACGGAGGCCCTGCGTCGGCGCCCGCCGCCTGGCCCCGCCCCGCCCCGGCTTCGCCCCGCCTCCAGGCCCCGCCCCGCCCCGGCCCCCGCGGCCAATCACAAGCGCCCCCCGCCCTGCCACGAGGCTCAGTTAAAAATCCGCGTGGGCCGGGGCTCCCTGCTCCCGGTGCAGCACAGCAACCCGCTTTCCTCTGAGCATCTGCCCCTGAATTGATGCGAAGCGCGCTTCTGGGTGTGCCAGGCTTTTGACCGGAGTCACCTGTGCCTTTCCAGGGACAGGTCACCCAGGCGCCTGGGCTAGAAAAGAATGGTGGAAGAATTCTCTTTCATTGTGCCAGTTTAGCGAGCTTGGTCACGTCGTGTGTCCTTAAGGAGCTCATCCATTCTTTGAAATCACGTCTGGACAAGATCCTTAAAAGGGACCTTTAGGAGTGTGAGTGTTGGTAAACTACTTGGATGCTTATGATTTCCTATGTGGTTTAGTTTGGTTTTGGGTACTGGAGATTGAATTTAGAGCACACTGAACTAAATCCCCAGCCTCACCCCCTTTTTAAAATTTTGAGACAGAGTCTCGCTACATTACTCAGGCTGGGCTGGAATTTGTGATACTCCTGCCTCAGCTTTCCAGGATGCTGGGATCACAGTATGTGCCACCAAACCCGACCATGATTTCTGTTTTTTTAAACCTAAGTCCAGTGATTGTATGGTCTTACCTAAGGACGCTGCAATATGAGATCCCCAAGACCAGAGTGCAGCTGCTGTGACACAGGAGCATGCCGCATGCTAGGACGAACCTCAACTGTGTGACCCAGAGACCCCGCTGGAGACTTGTGTTGAGAAGACCCAAAATGGCTGACACAGAGCCCACACAGACCAGACACAGTATTTTAGGATCATCTGGAAGCAGAGGAGAATAAGAAACAAGAGACGAGTTGTGAACTAGTCTATAACGATAATAGTACTTTTTTTGATCTTCACTTTGATCCTGGAGATTGAACCCAGGTCTTCTCAAGATGCTAGGCAAAGGCGCCTGAGTGACCTGTCCATGGAAGGCAAACCTGTACCCTCAACCCTTAATATTCTTTTGGCGCGTTTGCAATACATAATAAATACATTCATCAGGGAGAGTTGATACATACACACTTTACGTTTTAGTCTTTTTTTATTTCCCCCTCCCCTCTCTCCTTTTCCCCTGTATTCCTGGGTCCCTTTGCTATCTGCAAAGTCTGTCTCCCTGTTTCCTGTTGTCTGTCGTTTATAAAAATTATTTTGAGAGAGGGTCTTGCTAAACTCCCCAGGCAGTTCTGGAATTTGCAATCCTCTTGCTTCAGCCTCCTACCTAGCTGAAATTACTAGTATTAGCACTATATCCAGCCACTGTATACTTTTTACTTTTTTTTGTCTTTTTCGTTTTTATCGGTACCAGGGATCGAACTCACGACTGCCTACTTGCAAGGCAGGCGCTTATGCCGCTGAGCTAAATCCTCAGCCCCCAGCCACTATATATTTTTTAAGAGAAATTTTTCTTTCTTTTTTGGGGGGGGATACTGGGAGTTGAACACATGGCCTTGCGTTTACCAAGCAGGCACTTCCACTGCTGAGCTAAACCCCCAGCCCAGAGAAATCCTTATTGTTGTTTAGACTTGGTGGCGAATGCGTGTAATCCCAGCACTTAGGAGGCTGAGGCAGGAGAATTGCTGCGAGTTTGAGGCCAGCCTAGACTACATAATGAGACTTCGTGTCAAACAATTTTTTAAAAAAATGTAATTTAGGTTCCCCTCCCCTCCCCTCCCCCATACCCCCCTCCCGCAGGGCTGGGCTCAGGAAGCTCCTTCATAGCTAACTGTGCTACCAGGGCCCTCCAGGAAGACTGGGCGTTGCAACTGTTGATTTTGCCCCAGGTGGGGCAGAGAAGGTGGAGCATATTAGATAAATTCTCTCTTTTGACCCTGTGAATTTGCCCTTGGAATCTGAGGTTCCTAAAATACAGGCAGGACAGCATGGAGTTGGGAGGGATGGGATTCAGTGATTAGCAGCTCTGGGCCAGTCCCCAGATTGTCCCCTAGGCTAGAAGCCCGGACTGTGCTAGGATGAAGCATTCCCTTGACATAGCTTTTATGGTTGATGGCATTTTCGGTTCCTGATGACAAGGTAGGACGGTGAACTATGGCGAGTCTGAAATGAGGCCGGCCGCCTGCAAGCTACAGGAGTGGACGGGCTTCATGTCTACCTGGCCAAGTATTCTGTCGCCTTCTTTACCTGAAACCACTACAGATATTCCTTGTTAAATGAATGAGTTCTGTTCGTTGAGTTGGTTGCTAAGCGAGGATTTGTATGTAGTGTGTACAATGTTCAGGCCGAAGAAATAGTTAAAGGAAACTCTCAACTTGATGACTTTGCTTGTATTTTCTTAACTCTCAGGTGCAGTATTGTAATGTATAACAGAACATAAAGCTACAGTACAAACAGCAAACATTACAGTACCATATAAGCAAGTGTACTATATAAGGAAAAGATATTGAGGCTCTATAAGCAAGATGTGCAGAACTGTACCCAGGAAAGGTGGTTTGTAAGTCTGAATAGTCTGTTAAACAGCTAAGTCATTAAATGAGGAATCTGTATAAGCCTGCCTGGGAAGTGCATGTAGTCAGAGCTATTTAGGAGGCAAGGCAGGAGGATCTCTTGAGTCCAGGAGTTCCAGGCCAGCCTAGGCAACATAGCAATTCTTAAAAGAAAAATCTGGGTGTGTTGGTGTATGCCTAAAACCCCAGAACTCTGGAAGGCTGAAGCAGAAGGATCCCAAGTTTGAGCCCAGCCTGGGCAACTTACTAAGCCTGACAACTGTCTCAAAAAAAGACTGGAGATATAGCTCAGTCTGAAAGCCCTGGGTTCAATTTCTAATATTGTGAAAAAAGAAAAGAAGAAAAATAATATCCTCAGGGGCATAGCACATGCCTGGTAAGCATGAGGTGCTGAGTTTGATTCCCAGTACCAAATAAAATAAAATAAAATAAAATAAAATAAAATAAAATAAAATACTCTAGCGCTACTCAGGAGGCTCAGGCAGGAGGATTACTGTGAGTTCAAGGCCAGCCTGAGCTACAAAGTGAGTTCAAGTCCAGCCTGAACTGCTGGAACCCTGTCTCAGGAGGACAAAGTAATAATAATAACAATGCCCTAGTTAAAACTAGATAAGAGGTCACTGCGTGAATTATCTGGTCTCTAAAGCTAACAGTGTCTTGATTGCAAAATACCTGACACCTAAAGTTAACAGAAGAAAGGTTTATTTTGGCTCACGGTTTGTAGAGGTTTTAGTTTATAACCAGCTGGCTCCAAGGCAGGGCGGTGCTGCAGAGGAGAAACAGCTCCTAGCAGGGTAGGCAGGAGGCAGCAGCACCAGCCTGCCTCCCCTCCCTCTGTATTCCATCCAGGCTGTGAGCCTGTTGCTTGGTGCCACCCACACCCAGGGTGGGGCTCCTAGCATCTATACCCAGAACTGTGCTAGAGCCAGAAATCCCTGAGCCAGATTCCCTAGAACCAGAAATCTCTGAAAAACCCCACCTATGAGTACATGAGGCTTTTGGGGGAACATCTGGATACAAGCTGTAACACAGAATTTGATCCTTGGGGCTGACTGCGGCCCTTCCAGGGGGAGAATCACCAGTGTCTCCTATGATCCATGCCATGTTGGAACTTAGGATGCTGGGAAACCAAGTAACCCACCTGCCTCCCTGCTAAGTAATAGTGAACCCACTGGTGCATGGCCTAGAGTCAAACATCCCACTTCCCCAACCCACCTTCCCCTGTCCCCCATTAGCAAATGGGAGCCCGAAATCTGAGCATCTCTTAGGAGGTTGACCATAGCAAATAAGGGGGATTTCCTTCTACCATCTCTTTGAAGGCAAATATTTTTATTACTGTTTTCCTCTATTCTGATTAATGGTAGTGCTCTATTCAATATTCTGTTTTGATAACTTCTATAATGTTCTGTATTTCATTTTATTTTGATATATGTGATTGAAAGCACAACTATTGGGGCTGGGGATTTAGCTCAGTGGCATAAGCGCCTGCCTTGCAAGCAGGCAGTCGCAAGTTCGATCCCTTGTACCGATAAAAAAATGAAAAAGACAAAAAAAATTTAAAAAAAAATAAGAAAGCAACTATTATAAAGATAACGAAATATATTGTGATACCTATTACTGTTATCCTGGTAACCTGCTGTGAAGTTCTGAACCAATTCACTGTACCATTTCAGTTGGCTTTATTCTGGCTTGTTCTGTTGTATTTTACAACTTTCAAAATAAAATTAATTAAAAAAAAATTCGATCCTTGGCACCACAAATAACGGCATAAAACTTAGTGAACTCCTGGATGTAGTAATAATTCCAGCTCCTGGCAAGGCTGAGACAGGAGGATGGCACATTCCAGGCCATCATGGGCTAGAAATTAGGGAAATCTTGTCTCAAATTAAAAGGTCTGGGAGTGTAGCCCAATGGTAGTATTTAACCAGCACACACAAGGCCTGGGGCTCAATCCTTGGTCCTGAAAAAGCAAACAAAAAAACCTTAGCAGAGTCACTGCTAGGTGAACCTTTAGTCAGTTTATACATGTCATCAGAAGTCTACTTTTTCAGCCAGGGATTTAGCTCAGCAACAAAGCTCCTACCTGGCAAATAAGGTTGTGAGTTCAATCCCTGGTACAGAAAAGAAAAAGCTACTTTCTCTTAACTTCTGCCTCAGTTGGGGACACCATTCTGTTAGGAGGGTGTCACACTGCTGTAGTGTCCCTAATGTTGGTCTGCATATTCCAGTCTTTCATTGTCTGGGGCTCCTGGAAGTTGGGTCCTTTTTTTTTTTTTTTTTTTTTTTTTTCCCTTTTCTGTTCTTTTTTTTTAGTATCAGGGTTTGAATCCAGGGCCTTCACACTGAGCTACATCCTCAGCTCTTTTTTTATTTTTTTCTTTCAAGACTGTCTCACTAAGTTCACTGAGGTTCCCAGGCTGGGCTCAAACTTTTGATTGTCCTGCCTCAG